TTTAAATTCAAATTCAATTTAGTTAATATATAGTATGTTGTTAGTTTCAGGCAGAGTTTAGTGATTCATCGGTTGCATGTAACACCCAGTGCTCATTCCATCAAACGCCTCCTTAATGCCCATCGCCCAAGTTAGTCCGTCCCCTGACCCACCTCCCCTCCAGCAACCTGTTTCTTTCCTATGGTTAAGAGTCTCTTATAGTTTGCCTCCCTCTCTATGTTTATCTTAATTTTTCCTTCCCTTCCCCTTTGTCCATCTTTTTGTTTCTTAAATTCCACAGGAGTGAAATCATATGGTGTGTGTCTTTCCCCGGCAGACTTATTTCACTTGGCTTAATACCCTTTAGTTTTATCTATGTTGTTGCAAGTGGCAAGAGTTCATTCTTTTTGATGGCTGAGTAACATTCCACTGTATATATACACCACAGCTTCTTTATCCATTACCTATTGATGGACATCTGGGCTCTTCCCTTAGTTTTTAAAGTAGGCACTTCCGAAGGATGAATATTTTTCATTTTAAAGTAATACTTGGCTCATTAAAGATAACTCCTATTTTATAGAAAGGTAGAACTCTCTTCCCTTTGCCCCCACAATGTCCCATACACCATGAACACCATTTTCTTATAATTTAAAAATAATTACTAGTTTCATGAAAGTGGCTGCCTCTGGGGAGTAGTGGGGAAAGGTCTAGTTTTCACAGTACCTCTGCCTTTTCACTTTTCTACCCATGTGACTGTATCACTTATTACAAGACGTTTAGTTTTCACAGAGCTGTGATCACTCCATGTGTGCAATAGTACAGCTCCTATCCCCCGTCCCTGCCTTACCCCTGCGCCCTGCTGTCTCACCTCCTCGTCTGTTAGCACCTCATTAACAGCTGCGCCACAGCTTTCCACGTGGGGCCCTCCTCTGCCGTTTGAATGTTTGACTTAGTTCTGATTTCTCATAGTTGTAAATGATATTGCAGTGAACATGGTGGTGCTTAAATGTTTTTCCAGATCTAGGATTCTTTCCCTCAGATAGGTTTTGCCAAAGGCGAATCACTGGGTCAGGATGGGTATGATTGTTGTAAGGTTCTTTTTTTTTTTTTTAAAGATTTTATTTATTTATTTGACAGACAGAGATCACAAGTAGGCAGAGAGGCAGGCAGAGAAAGAGGAGGAAACAGGCTCCCCGCTGAGCAGAGAGCCTGACATGGCGCTTGATCCCAGGACCCTGGCATCATGACCTGAGCTGAAGGCAGTGGCTTTAACCCACTGCGCCAACCAGGCGCCCTCATTGTAAGGTTCTTAATACACACATCCAGATCCCTTGAAAACATTATACCAGTTTGCACTGCTGCCTCTAACATGATGGTGTATTTTTCACACATCCTGTTTGCATTATGTATTAACAGCATTTTTCTCCTTTGTTGATTTAATAGGGGAAAGGACATCTAATTTTTAAATGCATTTATTTCGTTCTTTTTTTTTAAGATTTTATTTATTTATTTGACAGACAGAGATCACAAGTAGGCAGAGAGGCAGGCAGAGAGAGAGGAAGGGAAGCAGGCTCCCCACTGAGCAGAGAGCCCGATGTGGGTCTCAATCCCAGGACCCTGGGATCATGACCCGAGCCAAAGGCAGTGGCTTTTACCCACTGAGCCACCCAGGCGCCCCCATTTATTTCGTTCTTTAGGAGGTTGAACATTTCCCTCTAAGTTTATTAAGCAATTACATTTTTCCTGTCTTTGCATGATCTTTGTGGTCTTAATACCTTTCTATCAATTTAAATAATCTCTTTATATAATAAATATTTTTATACAGTTCAATCCTGTGTTCCAAGAATACAAAATCTAAACTTCTCTAAATAGTGTTTTATTTTCAAATCTATTTTAACTACTCTTGAATTGACTTTGATATATTGTGTGAAGTAATCAAAATTACCCATTCTTAATTGCTCCAACCTCAATTATTAGTAAATGACTCGTAGTCATAATACATTATTATATAGTGTAGGATCTATTAACTGGACCATCTACATTGTTTCATTGACTTGTTGTCCTATTTTATTTTTGATCTATGTTCTTCTTAATTTTTATAGCCTTGTATTTGGGTTTTCTATCGTACCTTTAAAAAGTATGTTTATATATATGCATATTGATATGAAAAATACATAATTGTATTCTTCTGGATGAAAATTTATGATTATCAATTAAAAAGTCTTGTATTTATAAGTACATGAATTTGTAAGTGCACTAGAGGAAAAAAAATTGTTACCTTTTAATCTCAGCATCCTGGAACATACTGTCCTTTCAATCAAAGTTTAGTTTACTTCTCATCAGTACAAGTTTTCCTTAGTCATTCCTACATACTGTTGCAGTGGGGGTTTCCTTGTGTGTGGTTTTTCTTTTTTGTTATGGTTCTCATTTAAAAAAGCCAGTGTTCCGGGAATGGGGTCACTTCAGTGTTGCCCCACTGCATGTACCCAAGCCAGCCAAACCCGAGTTCCACAAGCAGTTGGGGGCCACGGATGCTGCTGAAATGTTGATGTAAGCTGGAGACCCTTTCTCCAGGGAATCTGAGAAGCCTAGCAGTGTGCATGGTGTGTGTGTGTGTGTGTGTGTGTGTGTGTGTGTGTGTACGTGTGTGTGTACGTGTACCCACACACATACTTACGAACATGACCTCAGTGCGCCAGCCATGCCGCCACATTAGCTTCAAATCTCTCCTCCCGCGGACACTTCCAGTTGGGAAGCTCTGGGTTCGGTGCTGATGCCCGGGCCACCAGGTCTCCTACAGGTAGGATCTTGCAGGAGGAAAAAAGTAGAGGACCACTGCCTGGCACCTGGCCCGCTTCAGCCTCTCAGGTAAAATGTTAGGCTTGGAATAGAGAGAAGGGAGCTGGGCTGCGAGAATCAGCCCCATGGGGCATACGTGAGGGAGCCAGGTGGGCAGGAAGGGGGAAGTCACGAAGAGGAAGCGGGATAATCCTCAACAAAGCACCTCTTGACACATGATCTTTGACTTTTCAAGAGATGCTGGAATGCTCAGTTTTTATGTGATGTCTCCCAATATTTTAATTAAAGCAACTAATTAAAAAAATCCACTCAGGACCATAAAACACTTGTGGGCTATGTCTGGTCCATAGGTCCTGTTGTGAGGCATCTGAATCACTAGGGGCCAGATCTGCTGCTGACTGGGTAGGGATTTAGAGGGATAGACTGGGAGGGGCAGTCATTTGCTCAACAGCACACAGGCAGAAATCGGTGGTATCATAACCGACTCCAAGTCAGGCCCAAGTGAGTCCCAAGCCATGCTATTACCTAGCCCGTGGTTTAAAGGAAGAGATTATGCTGAGTGAAGTAAGTCAAGCAGAGAGAGTCAATTATCATATGGTTTCACTTATTTGTGGAGCTTAACAAATAGCATGGAGGACATGGAGAGATGAGAGAGAAGGGAGCTGAGGGAAATTGGAAGGGGAGGTGAACCATGAGAGACTGTGGACTCTGAAACACAACCTGAGGGTCTTGAAGGGGCGGGGGTGGGAAGTTGGGGGAACCAGGTGGTGGGTACTGGAGAGGGCACGGACTGCATGGAGCACTGGGTGTGGTGCAAATACAATGAATACTGTTACGCTGAAAAGAAATTAAATAAATCAATAGAGGCAGTGTTTCTCAGTGTGTGGCCCCTGGAGCAGCAGCATCCTGTTACCTGGTGTACTAGACTAGTGACGGCCCACAGAGATCAGGTCCTAATCCCTGGAACTTTTAAATGTTGCCTTATTCGGAAAAGGGGGCTTTTCAGAGGTGATCGAGGAGTCTGAGATGAAGACATTATCTGGGTTGGCCCTAAATGCCACTAACATACCCTTATAAGCAAGCAGAATGAGATCATCTTTCTTTCTCTCTCTCACACACACATGCAAAATTTTAAGACTAGAATGATTCAGCCACAAAACAACACCAGCAGCTGAAGAGGCAAGGAAGGACTGTTCCCTAGAGGCTCCAGATCACGGCCCAGCTGACATCTTGTTTCAGCCGCCAGGTTTGAGGCGATTTGTTAAAGCAGTCCCAGGGAGCGGATATATCTAGGAACATCTTAGAAATTCTGAGGCTCCCTCCCAGACCTGCTGAACAGGAGATTCTGGGAATGGGGCTTAGCACCCTGTTTTAACAAGCCCTCCAAGGGATCTGTTGAAAGCTGAAGTTCCAAAAACACTGGCTTAAGGCAAGGGCTGAAAAAACAGGGACGAGGCATTTTGTGCAAATGTGATTTGGGGCCTGCGGCAGAACTGGAGGTGAGTTTGACCTAAAGGCATTCACCATTCTGCATGAAGTGCTTGACCCCCACAGACATAGGAGCTTTTCAGCCTTGTCCCAAACCAGTATTTCTCGAACTTCCGTGTACAATAAAGAGAAAGGTAATAAGCAAAACAAGGTGGTATGTGCTACAAAGAAAAAGATGGTAAATGGGCAGAGGGAGTGCCAGTGGGTAGGGCCAGTTTTAGACTGGGTGGTCCAGGAAAAGCTTTCTGAAGAGGTGACCTTATGAGAAGGCAGCCAAGGAACATTAGGGAGGAGAGGGTTCTGGGCAGAGGAAACAGCATGAGCAAAGATCCTGAGGTCAGAAAATAGCTTAATGTTCGGAGGAAGTGCTGGGAGAGCAGTGTCACAACCCGCTCGAGGAACTAAATGTGTCCCATGTGACTCTGGAGAGGAATCCTGAAAGCTTGTGTCTGGCTTCCTCCAGACCTCACCCCATGCGCCTCTTTGCAGGTTTTGCTTTCTATACTTTTGCTATAACTCTCAGCCATAAGTATGACTATATGCACAGTCCTTTGTGTCCTCTTACTGAGTCACCAAACCTGGGTGTGGTTTTGGGAACCCCTGAGGCATATCCCCATGACTAATGTACGTGATGTCTTAGACCTCCCAGGGTGAAGGAAATCTGAAGGTTCCACGTGCATAGTATGTTTTATTAAGAACCGCTGGAAGTCAGTTGCCACAAAGGTCTTCCTCACCCTCACTGTATGCGTAGGATTTCTCCCTGGTATGGATCCTCCGATGTACTTTAAGGGATGAATCACAACTAAAGGCTTTTAGACATTCCTTACACTCACGGGGTGTCTTGATGCTGTGGGTCCACTCGTGCTTGGTTAGAGAGGAGCGGTACCTGAAGGCGTCCCCGCACTGCTTACACGTGGAGGGACTCTCCCCAGTGTGAGTTCTCTGATGGAGGCTGAGGGAGGAGCTGCAGCGGAAAGTCTTCTCACAGTCACTGCATTTGTAGCGTTTCTCTCCTGTGTGGGTTTTCCAGTGCTCGATGAGGGAGGACCTGTACTGGAAGGGTTTCCTGCGGTCGGGACACTTAATAGGGGTTCTCACCTGTATGAATTTTCTGGTGGAGATTAAGGGATGAGGCCCAGCTAAAGGCCTTTCCACATTCACTGCATCCGTAAGGTTTCTCCCCACTGTGGATCCTCCGGTGCTGGCTGAAGAATGACTGATCACTAAAGGCCTTCCCACACTCATTGCACTGATAGGGTTTCTCGCCAGTGTGAATCCTCTGATGGGAGAGGAGGGCTGAGCGTTTGCTGAAGCCTTTCCCACATTTGTTACAGAGAAATGGCTTCCTGCCACTGTGGGTGATCTGGTGCTCCCGGAGGGAGGAGCTCCACCTGAAAGCTTTGTCACAGTCCTCAAACTTGTATGGTTTCTCTCCAGAATGAATTCTTTGATGCTGAGTAAGGTTTGCCCTCTGGCTGAAGGCCCTTGTGCACTCACTGCATTCATAGGGTCTCTCCCCTGTGTGGATCCGCCAGTGCTGAGTAAGGTAGGACTTGGAGCTGAAGGCTCTCCCACATTCAGGACATCTATAGCCTTTCTTCTCTGTGAAGCTGCTCAGAGATCCCACCAGGATTGGCATCTCGGAGAGGCTGTTCTCTCTGCAGTTCATGAAGTTCATGTCCCAAAGTCCTTTCTTTTGGGGTGACTCTTCAGAGATGTTATGCTTTGAAGGTATCCTGTTGTCAGGCCCAGTACCCCAGTCTGAAATAAAGTTTTCAAAACTGCAAATTCCTGTAAGGTGTGAGACAATGCTCCATTACCCATTGTGACTATCAGTCTTACTTGTCAGCCCGACCATGCTCTAGTCCCCAGCGATCTCAATCAAATACAATCCAAGTGTTGGTTAGCATTTTTAAAAAACATTTTATTTATTTATTTGACAGAGAGAGACAGTGAGAGAGGGAACACAAGTAAGGGGAGTGAGAGAGGGAGAAGCAGGCTCTCTGCCAAGCAGGGAGCCCAATGTGGAGCTCGATCCCAGGACCCTGGGATCATGACCTGAACCGAAGGCAGACGCCTAACGACTGAGCCACCCAGGTGCCCCATGTTGGTTAGCATTTACAATCACTTCAGGTAAAGGAAATTATCTATGATCACGTAGGTGGGCCTCACCCAATCAGTTGAAGGCCTGCAGAGCAAAAACAGGTTTCATAAAGAGGAAATTTTGCCTTAAGACAGCAGCATCAACTCCGCTTGTTTCCAGCCTGCTGGGCAGCCCCACACATTGTGTACACACCAGCCCCACAAATGTGTGAGTCATTTCTTAAAGTAAATCCCTCAATATATAGTTTATTGGTTCTGTTTTTCTGGAGAATTCTGACTGATGTATCAGCTCTCTAATGAGGCCTGACACCTGGGGCCAGACTGGGTTAGGGGGAAGCATGCACAGATTATAGAATCGGGGAAAGCAGAGTTGACCGACAGAGGAAAGAAACATGTCAAGGATGAATCCAGCTCATCTGGGAAGATGAGAACCTGGAAAGGGCAGACCAAGACACTGGGGCCTCAGAAGCCCACGTGGGCTGGAGTGAGCCCTCACTACCTCGCAGCCTGGTCTCCGCAGCTGGGGCACACGCACACTCAATTTTAGGCTGTTGCTGTTCTTCAGTGAGTCATGGAACTAAGTCAGGTTCCCTACCTTGGCACCAGTGACATTTTGGGCCAGGCAGTTCTCTTGTGGGGACTGTCCTGGGTATTGCAAGATGGCAGGCAGCATCCCTGGCCACTTCCCCTCTGCACCACAGCGCCCTCTCAGCCGGGACGACCAAAAAACCTTCAGACATTGCTACATGTCCCCTCAGGGCAAAACCGCTCTGGGTTGAGACCACGGCTTTAGTAGGTTGTGACAAGAAGTTTTAAACAACGGGATAGAATGGAGTAACAGTGCACTGTGTATAGTAAGGACAAGTATCACTTCCTACTATTTGTTTTTTAATTAATTAATTTATTTTTTAAAGATTTTATTTACTTATTTGACAGAGATCACAAGTAGGCAGAGAGGCAGGCAGAGAGAGAGGAGGAAGCAGGCTCCCTGCCAAGCAGAGAGCCCGATGCAGGGCTCGATCCCAGGACCCTGAGATCATGACCTGAGCCGAAGGCAGAGGCTTAACCCACTGAGCCGCCCAGATGCCCCACTTTATACAATTTTTATTTCATTTATATCTCATGGATACAAAGCATGTGCAGTGGGCTGTGATGTAAAATGTACCTTTTACCAGGGTTGGGGAGAAAGAAGTCTGAGGCATACAGACATGGGGCGGTCAGTTTCATCACAGGGACTGAGCAAGACAGAGCCAGAAAGAAGGCAGAGAGAGGTGGAGGCAGAGGCAGAAACAGGCTTTAAACTGAACTGAGATGTCGACAGTATGTTCTCTGTGGGCACCCTTCAATGGGACCCCGCTGACTGCGCCCTTGTCAATCCTCCTTTGGGCTCTCCTCCCCCCCACACATCCCAGCCAAACACTGGCATATACTGAGTGTTCAGCAGGAGTCAGCTACCTATAATGGCTAAACCAAGCGTGGCCAATTAAAAAGCTCGGTCCCCTGGCCTCCAGCTGGCTTAAGAAAGAGAACAGATATGGTCTGATGGCACTAGGGCCTGCAACTTCCATTAGTACTTCTGGGAAAGAAAGCCTTCTGCCCTGTTGGGACCAGTGTGTCACTGAACCCATTGCTGCCAGAAACGGAAGGGGCCGGCCCAGGAGTGGAACCAAGAGAGGAAGAAACAGAACTGAGAAACACAGAGTGGGAGCCTATAGAGGACCAAGAGACAAAGGCCAGGAAGTAACACTTGAGCTCCTGGATCCAGCCATGCCTGAAGTCTGAGTTACCCTTGACTTTTCCATTATGTTCATACAGAGAGGTGGACACTTCAGGGGAAAGAGTGTGGGAGGACCCTCAGAGGCACTGAATGGCTGAGCCCCAACCCAACACAGTGCTGACATTCCTGATGCCCCTTGGCTTCTATGCAGTAAGGTGGGGTTTGAGTTCACTGATAAGTCACTGTCCTTATCCAGTGAGACCAGGTTCCTGTAGTTCTCCAGCATGACGTCCCAGTATAGCGCCTTCTGGCCAGGACTCAGCTGCCCCCACTCCTCCTGGGAGAAGTCTATCGCCACATCCTGGAACGCAATTAGCTCTTTGACAAGGGCACAGCATGACTAGCCCTTCATGCGGCCATAGGGAAAGGGGGCCTGGGGTCAGGAGGGAAGTTAAACAAGAAAAGAGTGGGTCGGGCTGGGTTCAGGACTCACCACAGTGTGGCTGAGGTTGCATGTGGTGGTCCAAGAGCTAGAACCAAGAGCTAGAAGAGCCCACAGACTGCTGAAGTCTGATTCCCGTGGGGCTCTACAGGGAAACTGCAACGCATTCAGTGTGACAAAGATTTACTGAGGTCACCTACGGCTGGGCACCTTTCTAGGCACTGGGGATACAGACCAAAACCCTGCCCTGGTGAGTCCCACATTCCAGTCAGGCTTGGACAATAAACCAGCCAAACAGCATGTCAGATGGTGCTAAGCGCTACAGAGAAAAACAGGCAGGCAGGGACGAGAGTGATGGGACATTAGGTACCAGCTAGAGTGGTCAGGAGAGACTTTACAGGGCAGTGACTCTGGACAAAGACCCGAGGGAAGTGAAGAGGTCTGTGCCACGTGGCTATTGGAAGGTGCCAATATTTTACTGGCACTGCTGATAATTTAAAACATGGATATTCGTACAAAAACCCAAATACCAGTCTTGAAAAACAGGAAGCTTTTACATTGCAAAGCCTGGATTCCTGTAGTGACAACAGGCTGGAGCCTGGTCACAGTCGCCCCTGTAGATGGGCTCAGTTTCCCACTGTGACTCCCCAACTCTGGGGTCTCAAACTCAAGTGCCTATGGGGGGGCTAGCGAGGTAGTGGGAATGAATGAAGTGGGCTGCCCGAATGCTTACAGGTGTCCTGAAACGCACGGCCCTCCCTCATCCTGCTTCCATTTCTCCCTTTCCTGAGGGAAGTAACTCTGCTGACACAGGATTCAGTTGCTGGGGACTGCGGCAAACTAGAAATCTTGTATCCAAAGGGGGCGCCCCCGCCTCAGCCCAGCTAGCAGTTGTCACGGACCGCCACGGCCCAGTGGGCTACCTCTGACCCTGCCTGGTGCACTCACGGGTCTCCCGCAGCACTTACCACCCCTGAATGTCCAGGCTGGTGTCTTTGTTGAGTGTCCCCCACATCGTTCCTGGCCTCCACCCAAGCAGGGACCTCGTCAGTCTCAAAAGGACTGCATCCCGGTGCCTCCAGGGTGCCCCGAACACAGGAGGCCGCAGATATCCGCTGACTAACACGTGGAGCACACCCGCCGCCGCCACGACCACACTGGGTGCTCCACACCCAACCAGGAGCGACGTCCTGCCTTTCAGAACCCAGGGGCCCTCCCAGGCGAGACCAGCGCAGTCACAAGCCCGGGAACCATGCCCTCCTCGGCAAAGAACCTCTCCTGGCGGAGGCCTGAGATCCGAGCTGGGGGGGGAGGAGGAAAGTGGTGAGAGAGGAGGCCCAGCTGGGCCATCACACCAGCCCCTCCTCCGGGACCCGAAAGGACCACATGCCTCGTCGGAGGTGGAGGAATGCGGTAAGTGGCACTGTTTCCTGCAGCCTGATCTAAACTGAGGACCCAAACTCTGGAGACAAGGTACCTGGGTCTGAATCCCACCTATGACCCACTAACCGTATGGCCTTGGACAAGTTCCAGGACCTCCCTCCGAGACTCAGTTTCCTTATTTGAGAAATGGGGATAGAATGGTATCTACCTGTAGGACATGGTGACAGCGTTACTGTGGCGGATGGCATCAGTGCCCCCAGTCCTTCACGCTCCCTGTAGATATACCCTTGGCCATGTACCTCTGAGGTGACCTGTCGCCTTAAGTGTGGTGTCTGTCCCCACCTCTTGACATCAGGTCTGGCCTTGTAACCCGTGTTGACCGGTGGTGGCCCTCATCTGCTCACCCCCTCACCGTCCTGCTCTTCCTCCAGGATCCAGGCTCATTCCTGCTTCAGCGCCTCTGTCCTCGCCCCTCCCTCTGCCGACAACACTCTTCCTCCCACGTCTCCTCCAGGTCATTCTCACCGTGCAGGGCTGAGCCTAGACCTCCGTCCTCGGAGGGTGTTCGTACCCGCCCGAACTCAGGGAGCGGACCCAGCCCCAAGACCCCCGCCCTACCGCCCTCTAGTGTTTCCTCCCGAGCATTTATCAGTGACGCGCGCTATTTCACTGTGTTCCCGGGAGAATGCAAGTTCCATCACAAGCCGCACCACCCAGCAACAAAATTCCACAGGCATCCCCAAGAAATCTCATGCCCAAGGGACAACGACACTTACAGGTGAACGCAGCCACGCGGGCTCAGCACAGTGTGGCCACCTGTTGGGGACACTTGTTCTACTCGCGCACAAACACAACCACGCGCACATTGTTCGATTCCTCAGGCAAGTGCCCGAAGCCCTTCCCACAGGGACGTCCAGCATGGCCCAGGGACACGAACCACAACAGCCACACAAACTCGCCCTCCACGTACGCCCTCGCGCACAAAACCACACACAGAAGCCAAACTCCATTACCAGAGCCACGGGAGTCACACAGGACTGGGCTCCCCGTCGCTCTAACGCCCCCACTCAGTCACATACGATCCCTTAAATGACAAACTACCATAGACCCTCGCGACACACAGGTCTGCATTCAGTCACACAGACCCTCGGACGAGGACAAACTCACACTCACACACCAGGCCCTTCCACACTCAACATGCGCACCGAGCCTCAGGCAGGCCGCGGACACTCCCAGACACCACACACACACACACACACACACACCGCTTGAGAGGCAACTTCAGACACTCACGTAACCCCACCTGACAGCAAATCTTCCTCGGCAACGCCCCGCGCTTGCACGCGCACACGCACCGCCTCACACTCCGCTCACGGGGCCCCCGGCGCTCACCCCAGCAACCCGCAGAGACGCCTCACCACGCGGACGTCGCCGCATCAGACACACCCGACATGCCCTCGTCACACACACACTCCCACCGAGTCACGGATCACAAAGTCACACTCAGCAAGAGACACACGCACAGACCTACACTCGCTCGCCCGTCGCGCGGATCAGGCGTGCACGCGCGCTCCACACCTCGGTAGAGCGGGAGCCCAGACGCGGCCCGGCCGGAAGCGGAAGCGCTCCCGGCGCCCGGGTGCAGAGCTCTCTGGGAGTTGTGGTCCAGAGACCGGCGCTCCGGCGTACGTCCCGGTGGCGCTGGGGCTCCATCCTTCCTGGGTTCAACTCCGCTCCTGTGAGAAGGAGGAACCAGCTCCGCAGAGCAGATACTCTCTGTCTCCCAAGTGAGAGCCCTAGTCTGAGAAACAGGAACTAGCGCCACAGAGCGGATACTCCCTGTCTCCGAAGAGGGGAGTAATACCCCACAAATGATGAGGCACCGGAAGGCAATAAGAGGGGAAAGGACGATGCGGCCCAAAGAGGCGGCTTGGGAACGTCTCTGCATCTTCCAGGAGATGACATTTGAAGCGCGTTTCAAGCGCGGGCAGTAGCAGCAATGCTCCAGCTCGGCAAGGGCATACCAGGCTGAGGAAGGAGCCAGTGCAAAGGCCCTGAGACAAGGTGAAGGTTGATGTGTTTGAAGAACCGAGGTAACGCCCGCATAGCTCGGGGTGAAAGATGAAGGGGTGGGTGCAGGGGAGGAGGCCGGAGAGCCCCAGGCAGTGGACGGGCACTGAAGGGCCGCAACAGGGGGATGGCGCGGCCCGATTTGTGCGTTCACAGGAGCCCGTGGCTGCTGGGTGGAGGGTGAGTTTGGGAAGCCAAGAGTGAAGGCAGGGAGATCGGAGAGGAGGCCGTTGCAGTGGCCCAGAGATGATGGTGTGCCGGGTGAGGGTGGTGGCCGTGGGCATGGTGTGACGTGCGTGGGTTTCAACCTGCACTGGGGGACATGCTGGACGTGGAGTGTAATGGGAAGAGGAGGGGGTAAGAGAGAAGCCAAAATGCCTGCCGGGTTTCTGCCCTGAGTGCCAACCCGGTGGGGTGGAACCTGAGAAGGCGTAGGCGTGGAGGAGGACAGAAAGCGCCTGCACCTGTGCTCAGTTTGAAGTCCTTGCTGCATATTCACTCATGTGGTTTAACGTCAGTGTATTCGCTCACTAACCATCTATTTTTTGAGTTTTGGTCCTGGGACAACTGCGTGCTGGAGCAGGCTGGGACGTCACAGAAGAGTTCACTTTAAATGTTCAGAAATGATGCAGATCAGTTGTTAGGCTGCGGACTCCTAGTTTGACATCAGCTGTGGTGAGATTACTTAGGCCATGGCAGTTGGCAAGTGCTAGAGTATTTTTCTCCAGAGAGCTGGCTTTCCAGCTCGCCATTCGATAATAGGAAACAAACACGTGATCACTTTCATTCTGGTGTGTGTGGGACAGATCTGTAAACAGATAGCTAAACAATTTACTGAAACTGCGGTGTGTATTTTGGAGAAATGGGAGTTCTGAGAGCATAGAAGGAAAATGACTTAGGTTGAGCCAGGAGGGGTGATCAGGAAGTGGTATTTGAGCTGTGATCTGAAGGCTGAGTTCTCACTCTCGTGTGTTTCATTGAGAAGGTGTCATCGTTGATCGGCGGTGTCTTTTTCGTTCTTAGCGGAGTGTAAAATAAGAGTCTGTCTTCCAATCAGTGGTGGTTTGGATTCAGCTGCACTTACCAATCTGATTAGGGGAGGGTTGTTTGAGCTGGGTTTGTGGAGCCCAAAGAGGCAGGCACGAGTGAGTGTGGGGAAGGGGCTAAGAAGCCATTAAGTGCTCAGAAGGCCCAGCCCTGTGACTCCAGCTAACGCCACAGCCACTCCGGCTCTTGTTTTTTGTTGTTTTGCGTCACATTTGTTTATTCAGAGAAATACATATCGAACGCCCAGTGCATGCCAGACAGTATGCTGCACACCGGGGCCACAGCACGCAGAAGGCAGCGCCACTCTCATGGAGGTTATATCTGGAAGGTGGGGTGGGGATTTGAGGCAGAACAAACTGAATAATCTAGGTAATTACAGGCGGCGAGAAATGCAAGTAGGAAATAAAACAAAACGAGGGCATTGAGAGTGACCAGGAGGTGAGCTGCTTTGGATGGGAGGGTTGTGGAGGCTCCTTTTCTCTTTTTGGACAATTTGGACAATAACTCCCAAGGGTTATGCATTTGATCAAGAGGCTGGTATCCTCAAGGATATGTTCGTAGCACAGCAACGGTTTCCTAAAACCTCCCCACAAAATGTCTTAACAAAGTAAGGTTGCTTTTTTTAAAAAAAAGGTTTATTAATTTATTTTTAGAGAGGTGGGGGCAGAGGGAGAAGGAGAAAGAATCTTAAGCAGGCTCCATGCCCAGCATGAAGCCTGATGCGGGGTTTGATCCCATGACCTGAGTCGAAATCAAGAGTCGGACACTTAATTGACTGTACCACCCAGGCGCCCCAAGGTGTTTAAAGTCAAAGAGAAATACAGCCTAATTTTTATCATTCAAAAATAGAACCCTGAGTGCTTCTGGAGTAAAAATATCGATCCTTTCCCCACCCTCTTAACTTTGGGTAAATTGCCTAATCTATCTGTATTTTATTTTCCTTATCTGCAAAGTGAAGAGAAGTACAACCACATCACAGAAGTCTTTCAAATGTTAGAGATAGTGCATATAAAAGTGACTAGTAAAGATGGTCTGGGAACAAAAGAGGAATTGGAAGTATGATGATAGGATGGAGTAAAAAGATAGATGGTCGCTCATCAAAAGAGTGGATATGGAGGAATGATTAAAAAATAGGAACTGTTCTCAAAAAATAAAAATAAATTTAAAAAATTAAAAAAAAAAAAACTGTTCTTTCCTTCTTTCTAGAGTTTTATCTTGGTGCATGGCAACCCAGCTGGAGACAACATTTCCCAGCCCCAGTGGGTCAGCATGGCCGTGTGACTAAGCACTAGCCAATGCGGTATTAGCAGAAGTGACGTGTGCAACTTCTGGTTTACATCTTAAAAGCACATTGCTTGCCCTCTATTTCCTCTCTGTTCCTTCCTGAAGCTGGATTGTGAATGAGGTGCTGGTGAGCTCTCTCTCACCTTGTGGATAAGGAGAACTTAGGCAATGGTAGAGCAATGAGACAGGAGGAACCTGGTCTCAGGACGACTTTGTGGCACAGAGACACCAGGATTACCTCAAGCACAGATGTTTAAACGAAAGAGAACTAAGCCTTCTGTATCATTTAACCCACTGTTTGTTGTTTCCTATGAAAGCAACTGAACCAAAAATCCAACTCATACAAGGCTACCAGGTAAACATGGTAGAAAGATGAAAATGCCTTTGACATTCCCTTGGGAAGGAGTCACATGAAGATGATGCAGTGTATATGGACAAGTCCAAAATAGCCCATTTTTCTTCTGGAATATTTGCTGCTTCTTCTGATGAAGTCATTGGCTTGCATTCAGGACAGGCATTAGATGAAAAATGTCTACCGCTAACCATGAAGCACGTTGAGTAGGCCAAGGTGTGCCCACCTGCAGAAGGCCCATGGAAACTGAAAGGGAGGTCTCCTATTGGACTCTCTGGGACATAGGGTCATCGAAGGGGCTCTTGGATGGAATGATCCCCGCTATTTAAATTATTCACTCCCTGTCCCTCCATCTTCCCCTGTGTACCTATAGTACCATTTGCCTATATTAACTGCACATCGGACATATCTCTAGCTTACCTGGACATCTACTAGGTAGATGCATGGCTCATTGTCATCCAACTTGGCTGCCGACTTTTTGGCTACAGGTGTGTTCCTTGTGGTGTCCAGAGGCACTAGCACCTCTGCCGTGGCCACAGGGACCTCCTGTGAGGGTGGATTGCTGGGTGCCTCCCATGTCCAGATGCCAAGTCCTAAAATGGCCCCCGAGGATAAAGCTTCAGCAGGGCTCCCTTCATGTCCTTGTTCCCCAGGCTGTAGATAAGTGGATTCAGGGTGGGCGTGAGGACAGAGTAGAAGACAGCTGCCACAAGGCCTTGCGTCGGGGAGTAGCTGGTGCGGGGCTGCATGTAGGCAGAGCTGCCAGAGCCGTAAAACAGGAGCACAGTGGCCAGGTGGGAGGAGCAGGTGGACGGGGCCTTCCAGCGGCCGGCGGCGGAGCGGATCCGACACACGGTGGCCAAGATGCGGACATAGGACAAGACAGTGAGGCCAAAGCAGCTCATGATGACGCAGCCGCTGACTGCAAATCCTGCAGCCTCGTGGGCATCTGCATTGGCACAGGCTAGCCGCATGAGTGCGGGGATGTCGCAGAAGAAGTGGTCGATCACGTTGGGGCCGCAAAACAGCAGGGAGAAGGTGTTGGCTGTGTGGAAGGCCGAGAAAACGAGCCCATTGCCCCAGGCCACCGACACCAGGGAGACGCAGGTCTCAGGGCTCATGGTGGCTCTGTACAGCAGGGGCCTGTAGATGGTCAGACAACGATCGAAAGCCATGGAGGTGAAGAGAAAACACTCCGTGGACCCAAGGCAGACAAAGGCAAAGAGCTGGGACGCACATGCATGGAGGGAGATGTCCCTGGAGCCCAGCGCGGTGGCCACCAGGGCCCAGGGGAGGGTGGTGGACACGGAGCAGATATCCACCAAAGAGAGGTGTTTGAGGAAGAAGTACATGGGCGTGTGCAGGTGCGCGTCCTGGGTCACGGCGGCCACGATAGCCACGTTCCCCAGAATGGCAGCCAGGTAAATGAGAAGGAAGGAGGCGGCGCCGAGCAACTGTAACAACGGGACCGTGGAGAAGCCCCGGAGGAGGAAGACGGAGACTGCTGTGAGATTGGGCATGGTCGGCCTTTGGAAGAAGTCCTGAACTGCCGAGGCCGCTCAGGGAGCAGCCACGAGGGGAATGAGGAGACAATAGCAAAGACCTAGGAGGAAAGGAAGGGGAGGTGAGCTGCGTCTGAATTAAATGCACATGCACGGTCTTCCCTGGCGGTCTCAAACCCCAGATACTTACGGAGGCCGGCAGATGCATACATCTGGGAATCTGGTAGAGTGTCATGGGGTGGGGGTGGGAGGAGCGTACAGAATGTTCTGTTCAAAAGAGACAGCTGCTCTGAGCTCATGCCAGCTGTCGGGGGACCAAGCACTGCCAGATCCTCTGATATTTGCCAAGAAAAGTCAGAATTCCAGGTTGTTTTTTCAATGTGAAATTTCCTGGGGCACCTGGGTGGCTCAGTCATTTGAGCATCCGACTCTTGATTTGGGCTCAGGCCATAGTCTCAGGGTCGTGGGATCAAGCCCCACGTCGGGCTCCCTGCTCAGCTCCGAGTTTGTGTCTCCCTCTCCCTCTGTCCCCTCCCCCCGCCCAGCTCCTGCTCATGCACACTCCTTCCCTCTCAAATAAATAAATAAAATCATTTAACAAATGTGAAATTTTCCTGACTTCTTTACGTTGGCAGGAAGTTCAAATTTACAACATTGTGCCTATCCAATGGGACCTCCAGTTTATGACTTCTGGTCTGATGCGTATTTGCTTCATAACTTCGTAACATCATCATGGTGACACCCAACCCAAGGCCTTGTAAAGGCCTGTTTCCCGCAGGAGGCCGTGAGCACCCCCACCTGAGTGCAGGGCCCCCTTTTCCTCTTGTCTTTGTTTCCCGGCATCCCGCAGAGGAAGGGGAGGGAAGTGGTGCACAGAATTTTTTTGCACCAGATGTCCAGGGTTTGGATTCTATGTGACCTTGGACAAGTACCTTAATCTCCCAGAGACTCAATTCCCTCCTCTGTAGGATGGGACAGTGTATGCCGTGGGAGCACGTGAGGACTGCAAGAAACATACTTAAAACGAGTTCTGGCAGGTGGTGGGGCCGTCACTGAAGGTTGGCTGTTACTGTTATGTTTCTTTGTGAGTGTGTGTTCCTTATTTTCCTTTCCACTGTGGTCCCTGAGCTGCTGGGATTGTGTAATAAAATAGACGTGAAAATATATCTTTAAACTTCTTCACGGAAAGTATTACTTTTTTCACGCTCCATCAGCCCTCGTCGCGGTTGTCACTTCCAATGCTATGGGACGGCAGCCCCGGACAGCTGGGGGTGGGCCTGGCACTGCCAGCGGAGTCCTAGTGATCTCCTCGGGGACCTAAACCCCCTCACTTATTATCTGCCCCTCATCGGCAGAATAATGCCTGCATTCCAAAGCGCTCTCTGTCCCAGTCCCCGAAACCTGGGGGTATGTGACCTTACACGGCAAAAGGAACTTTGCAAGTGTGGTTAAGCTGAAGCTTTTCAGATGTGGAGATTATCCTGGATTATCTAGGGGTTAGGGGTGAATTGTGTCCCCCCACCCCTGCCAGCTCCACTCCCAGCAAAAGATACATTGCAGTCCTAACCCCCAGTACCTCAGAATGGAGCCTCAGCTGGAAATAGGCCACTGCAGATGTAGTGAGTTACGATGAGGTCCTTATAGGAAGAGGGTCTCACGAAGACAGAGACACACAGGGGGCCGCCACGTGATGACAAAGACAGACAGTGAGACAACACATCTACAGCCGGGGATGCCGCAGACACTGGCAAGCCACCGGCTGCTAAGCTAGGCAGAGCCCGGGGAGGGGGCCTGCAGGGGTCAGGAGGAGCGTGGTCCTGAGGACAAACCGATCTCAGACTTCCGGCCTCCGTAACTATGAGAGAACGCATTTCTGTTGTTTGAAGCCACTCAGCCTGTGGCATTTTGCTGTGGCGGCCCCAGCGAACGAAGGGGCTGGCGGAAACCCCTGTAGCCACAGGGGCCCTTCCCAAGACAGAAGAGAGTCCGAGAAGAGAGGACAGAAGCACAGATTGGTGTGATGTGGGTCACCTGCCAGGGGAGGCGGGCGCCCCTGGAAGCTGGGACAGGCAAGGACTTGGATTCTCCCCATGAGCCTCCGGAAGAGAAGGCGGCCCCACCGACACCTTGATCTCAGCCCCCTGAGGCCCATCTCAGACTTCCGGTTCCCCAGACTGTGAGACAGGACGTGTGTGTGTTGTTTCAGACCGCGTCTGTGGTGACCTGTCACAGCAGCGCCAGAATCACACCCCGGCCTCCGTCCCCTGCCCTCTCCCTCCTATTCGGAGATTCGCCTTCCGTCCCAGAGATGCGGCGCCTTCCCACGCGCAAGCGGGAGAAAAGCGATGCGGTCGCACAGATAACGCCACGTCTCCTCTTCCTCTGGTCCACGAGATTCTGCGGAGAACAAACCTTGTCCTCGTGCGTCCCTCGGCAGGACACAGTGAGGGGACACTGCGTACTGTCTCGCTGCGCTGGGATTGATTTCCGTGTGTGTCGGCAGAGGCACATCGGGCTCCCGGCTTTTCAGATGTTCTGCTCAGGGGGAGCCTACGGTGTGCACAGAGGTTCCAGGAAGGGCTGACAAAGGAGGGGACCCCCCCACCCGACAGCAGCGTCCACCACCGCAGAGAGCCGCCCACGGAACACAGCGGGCCAACCTGCGTCTGCTTCACCCGTCCCGGCTCCCCACACCTTCACAGCTCGTCTTGCCGGTTCTAGCCCTGACGTTACCGCCTCACTCCTGTATTTTTTCAAAAGTCACTGGGAACGAAAGTAAATGTGACAAGGCTGCGTGCTGTCACTTGGAGAGGAAGCAAGGTCATGCGACGGGGTTTGGGCCCGGGGCCTGGTGCGTAACACATGAACGATAACCTTCAACCCTACATTACTTTTGTTCGTTTGTTTCAGTGTTTCTCTCCTGAAAACTGAGGGACTTGCAAAGGCATTTCTGACTCTTCCACTGAGCCCTTGGGGGTCATCAGGGCAGGGGGAGCGTTCCTGTTGGGACCCGACCCTTTCCTCCAGCTGGAGCCCGTTACATAGTTACGGATTATCAGCGCGCTTTTCAGTTGATGACGTTTCTGCCATGGGAGCGTTGGAGAGACACCAGAGTTGTACTCACAACCAAGAGGAGGCTGTCATGACGTACAGAACAGACTTGAAAGAGAATGCCTGACCCTGCCACTTCCCAGCTGTGTGACCTTAGGTAAATTACTCAACCTCTCTGTGTTTTGGTTCCTTTATCTGTCATACCCGAAAATAACGATGGCCATCCCTTCCCTACCGCATGGGGTTGTTAGTATGTGCAGAGTACATGCAGAGCTCTTAGATGACCACCTGGGACCCAAAACTGTGCATCTTCAGGATTTTCTCCAGAAGGAAGAGTCCATGTTTCTCAGAGCTGTGTGGTATTACCTTGTGGTGGATGTAAATTAGAATACTACCGACAGGGACGCCTAGGTGGCTCAGTTGGTTAAGAGTCTGCCTTTGGGTCAGGTCATGATCCCAGGGTCTTGGGATCAAGTCTCGAGTTGGGCTCCCTGCTCAGCGGGGAGCCTGCTTCTCCCTTAGCCCCTCCCCTTGCTTGTGCTCTCTCTCTCTCTCTCTCTCTCTCACTCTTTCTCCCTCAAAATAAATACATGGAGGGGGGCGCCTCTGCTTTCAGCTTAGGTCATGATCCCAGGGTCCTGGGATCAAGTCCCACATCGGGCTCTCTGCTCAGCAGGGAGACTGCTTCCCTTCCTCTCTCTCTGTCTGTCTCTCTGCCTACTTGTGATCTCTGTCAAATAAATAAATAAAAAATCTTCAAAAAAAAAAAAATCTTACGACCAACATCCTAATCTGAGGCGGTGGAGAGGAGCACAGGGCCAGGATTTGAGTCATGAGCCGATGGGAGAAATGAGCCTGGCCAACGAGTGACACAGAAACATCAATTCTGGGGGTTCGTGAGATTTTGGGAATGGCCTCTTCACCAGAGCTTGAGTGTCTCCCCTAATGTTCCCACCTTGCTGGCCCACAGCTTTGGCTTACATGCCTCCACTCAAAGGGAGCTCACTCAGAGCAGTGGTTCCCAACTGGGGACAATGGTATCCCGCTGGGCACACGTGGGAAAGCCGGAGACGTTTCTGGTTGTCACAACCGGGGAAGATGCTTGTGGCATCTAGTGGGTAGAGACCAGCGAGGCTGCTGAACTTTATTCCATGCACAGGACAGCTCCCCGCCCTCCCCACAGCAAGAATGACCTGACCCCAGAATGTCACTAGCCCTGATGTGGCCTCTTCGACTGAGTCTTGAGTCCCTCGTATGACACCAGTAGGATAACTGGCATTTAAACATCCCTTCCTGAGAGCCAGACCCGGAACTGAAAGCCTTTCATTCAAACACCGCCCTAGAAGGAAGGCACGATTTCATCATCTCCGTTCATAGATAGAAAAACTGAGGCACAGAGAAGTGAAGCACTTTGCCCAAGATCTCAGAGTTAGTAAGAGGTAGGCAGTGCCACGGCTCAGACCTGGCTGACGAGCCTCGTAACCACAGGCTTCCGTCATGGCTCTGCTGCCTCCAGTCACCCCAGGTAGGAGATGGGAGCCGTTTGGAAATTTGGAGCAGCCCGACCTACCTGGCAGAGTGTCCTGACCATCTCGCCCAGGGCAGGGAAGCCAGACCTCTTCACGGCGCTGCACTGGGCTTGTGGGAGGCCAGTTCCTCCCAGGGGGTGAGGTGACACAGATCCAAGCTGGGATTCCTGGCTCGAGGATGGATTCCCCACTTAGAAGCCGCAGGCGGAGAAGGCACTGGGGAAGGGCCGGCACTGCTGACGGCAGCTGCGATCGGCTGTGAGCCGCACAGTCTCTGCTTGGCTGTCTCTCTCTCTCATCAACTTGGGAATTCATCCAAAGTCACCTCTGGGGACTTTCTGTCCCACGGTGGCTCCAAACTTTGAGAACACGGCTCTTTGAGAAGGAGCTGTGAGCCAGGCCACCTGCTTACATCCTTTCTAGAGTGGTCATATGAAA